GCGTTACTGTATGTTCTCCGGACCAGGTCATGTTTTTAATTGAAATGTCTTGGCGACACCAATAAAACTGTTCGCCCCGCATCAACGCTAACCCTAAGGTGATTTTCTTCACCATCGGCACCCAACACTCAGCCCTTCTCATGATGTCACTGGTCCGCTCGGTGATTGTGAAAAGCGAAGCTTCGAAGTATGTTTGAAAAAAGAAAGCTCCCCGGGCGCTATTGTCGACAGGCATCCGCAATCACTGTGGGGTCAAGGTTGTGGGCAGGCACCCTACTCCGCTCTCGTACGGAATGGTGCGCAAGCGAATGGCCATTCTTGTGAAGGACAACACGCTAACTTGCGGTGTTGCATCATTTGGTCTTGGGCTCTAGAGCGCAAGAAAGAGCGTACAACTCTTCCGAGTCAGCTGGGTGGAACAGCTCGGACCGCATCAAGTGTTCCACCACTTCTGCTTGCTCATCCAAGCGGTAGGGCACACTCTGCCATCGTCTGTACCAACATCACACCAACGAGTCGCTAGTTAACCAGAAAGGCACACGATATACACGCACACGACACACACGACACACACGACACACAGTGTGCGAGCGTACCCGATCTCAGTGAAGACGTCGTTGCAGAGGCGCCACTTTTTGAAGGGTACCACGCCAGGGCCTTGCCAATGGGTCCCTTGTCCGTCGCAGATGAAGGTGAGGTCAGTCAACATAAAGCCTGCGGCGACGTGCACCTCTCCTGTCAGTTTCCTGGCTCGTCTCGCCCGTGTGTGTTACATCTGTGGCGGCGCGCCGAACAGTTGCAACAGTTGCAAGTGATCGTGAGTGTGAATGGTGTGGTACCCAGGTAGGGCAGGCAGGGAAGTGCAGCGTTGGCCAGGGCCTGGCGGTAACAAAGCCGTCCCGATCTCCTGTCGATCAACGTCTCAAGAGCCGAGTAGGTCTGCGACACTTCATCTGAGGCCTTCACCACCTGTTGACAGCGTCGCACTCAGCACTCAACCCACGCGCAACCCGAACACTCAACGCGCACCTCCCAAGTCCGCTTGAGTCGCCAACAGGCGGCGTCGTTCAGGCCGGCCATCACGGCCATCATCGTCGCGTAGTTGTTGAGTCGCCTGGCCGCCTAGCAGGTATGTTACAGAACGGGGTGCGGTGTGTGTCGTATCGTGTGCGTGTGCGGTGGTGCGTGTGCGTGTGCGGTGGTGCGTATGCGTGTGCATGTGTCTTAGACCGGTATGGCGGTGAGGCAATCCAGGAGCGGGAGACTTCACCTCAGCCACACAGATCCAGTGCCGCATCACGGAGGCCCTCTCCTGGGGGGACCTATTTGCGCACTCGCCACCGACCAACACGCTAGCAGTTACGACCGCCGCGAGCTAAGCGTGTGGTGACGTGCCAGTGCGTTGTGTCGTGTCGTGTCATGTCATGTGTCATGTGTCGTGTCGTGTCGGTGAGCATTAGCGCGAGGCAAGCGAAAAAAGCGAAAAGCACAATCGTCAGAGCACCCGATTGGCTTCTTCAATATGCCGCACGACGTTAGGCGCTTTCTCCCCTTTTGATTTTGTTGCCCACGCTTCATCAGTGCGCACGCACACGCACGCACACACACGCACACACGCACACACACACGCACACACGCACACACGCGCGAACACACACACAACGTAGAGGAGGTGAGCAAACTGATGTTCGGGCGCTACTTGGTGAACGCTTACCCTGGTTGGCCAGCTCGTTGAGCGTGATCGATGCGAACGAGTCCCATGCGCGCATCGTCAGCGCCTCCGCCAATCGCTCTGGCTTCGTGCGCAAGAAGTGGTCGATCAGCTCCGCGGCCAGCTCGTCGCCCGGCGCCGAATGGACGAACTGCAGCAGCGGCGGAGGCGCTACAACCGCTGCCTCCTCCGCGAGACGGCGCAGCCGCTGCTCGTCTTTGGCCTTCTGGTCCTGCAGCTGCTGCTGCCGCAGGCGCAAGTGTTGAATGCACTTCTCGGCGGTGGTGACGAGACGCTGCAGGTCGGCGCGCTGAGAAAGGGGAGCGGCGACGCGGCGCCGAGGAGGTGGGCGCGCATGCGCTCGAGGCTGTCGTCACAGGACTTGCCGATGCGTGGGCTCACTTGAATCCACTTAATCAGCGTATACACAGCCCTGGGCATGTACACAAAGAAAGTGGTTTGTGTCTCGCTTTGTGTGTGTGTGTGTCGTGCGTGTCGTGCGTGTGTCGCGTACCTGGAGGTAGGTAGTGAGTGCCGCCACACAGACCACCACTCGGAACTCGGTGATTGCGTTGAGGAGGGGAACCCCGCTTTCCTGGTTTCAGAGAAAGAGAGAGAGAGAGAGCTTCATGGGTGAGTGGTGTGCAACAATCGCACTGGGAGGGCATAGCCAACGTACACGATGGCATTGAGCAGCTCCTCGTCGGTGAACTGCGCAGCGTAGTTGTGCAGGACTATGTGGATTTCGAGCGCAACTTGCACCCATAACACAATACACCAGTTGGTTAAGACTTGGGGGGTCACTTCAACGGGAACTGGTCAACGACGGAGGCATACATGAAAGCTGTTGGTAGATGTAGCGCAGGATGTCCTCCAGGCTGCCGCTACGCAGGGCATCAGCGCTGGGCTGGTTACATGCTATGAACTTGAGGCTAGTGGTGCTCAGGTCCACGTCGATCGGGCCGTACTCGGGTACACAACGCCCCACCCGATAGCAGAGCTCGCGGCGGAAGTCGCCTGGCTGGTTGATGAGTGTGTCTTCTCTGTAAAAAATAATGTGAATAAAATAAGCCATTGAGTTAATTTAATAACTCGATGATATTGGGAGCTCGTACGGCCAGTGGCGACGAAGGGCGAGAGCGCGCCAAAGGCGCGTGGCCTGGGGGCCGGCCACAAGGGCGTGAGCCGTGCGGCAGAGGCAGGCCACAGCGCACAGGTCACGAGCCGAGGTCAGCCACATGAATATGCCCTCCCACACCTCGACCGCCAACAAGGCTTCCATGGGCGTGCGTCCTGCGTTCTCCATTACGCAGCTCACGAACAAACTTGAAGGCGTTCGGTGTGGAAAAAGCAACGGGTGAAAAAAAAGAAAGCTCCCCGGGCAGGGTTCGAACCTGCGACCTCACGGTTAACAGCCGTGCGCTCTACCAACTAAGCTACCGAGGATAGGCTTTGTCGACGGACTTTTTTTCTAATTATTAGAAGGTCTGAAATAAAAGCTATTATTCTGCTCTTGGAAGAGCGCAGTTCCCGCTTGCGTAGTGGCACGAGCATGGACGACACGAAGAGAACGTGCCGCAGGCGCCGCGAGGTGATTCTGAACCACCTCGGTCTTGGCTTATTGAGCACTGCCCTGACCAAGGTGCACCAACCCCCCCCCCCAAAGCCACCACCGGACAGCGTGTACCCACGTTCGAAACATTTTACTGTGGCGTGGGCAGGAGGAGGTAGCTGCACCGCTCGATGCAGGCCTGGCCGCGGTCCAGTTCGGTGCCGAGAGCGTCAGCTTGCACGTGCACAGGTTTAACCCACTACCACTCACTGCCAAACGCACAGGTGAACGAACCCACTAACTGCACCACGCGTGTTGTGTCTGTGTGCGCCGTAGAGATGGCAGTGGCGTGGCGGTGCTGACGATCGACAACCCGCCCGTCAACGCGCTCAGCAGAGGCGTCTTTGATGGCCTCATCAGGTTTTGCACTCATCAGTGTTGTAACAATCCTGCTTAACGCCCTCTCCGACAGGCTCACACATGAAGCGCTGGAGGACGACAACGTCAAGCTTCTGGTGATCACCGGCGCCAATCAGAAGTTCGTGGCCGGCGCAGAGATCGCCAGCATACAGGATAGCATCGAACTGCTCCGGAACACTCCAGACCGCCTCGACGGTACACAGCACCTCATCTTTCGCGACATACCTATGCTGACGTCACACTCCCGTGTAGCCGATTCGATGCGCTTGATGGAGCGGGAGCACGCGTGGCTCAACTGGCTCGAGTCGCAGTCTAAGCCGGTGGTCGCTGCCATGGACACCTTCGCACTCGGCGGCGGACTCGAGGTCGCCATGGCCTGCCACGCCCGCGTCGCCACCCGGAGGTGTGTGACCTCCGCTTTCGCTCTTTTTCCTCTGTAAGGGTCCGAATGGGGCTCAGCCTTCGTTCTTTCGCAACGTCCAGGACCAAGCTGGGCCTGCCTGAGCTGGCGCTCGGAGTGATTCCGGGCCTGGGCGGCACCCAGCGACTCCCGCGCTTGGTCGGGATGAAGAAGGCGGTCGACATGATGCTGGTACACAACTCTCGGGTGCGGTGGTACGAATGTGGTCTCACATCATCGTTGGTTGGCGGGACCACCGCGCAGTCGTCTCGTTCGCTGAAGGCCGATGAAGCCAAGAATCTCGGGCTGGTCGATGAGGTCGTTGGAGGCAGCGATCCAGCGCAACTCATCGACGCTGCGATCACGGTAAACAACTGACCATCGCACATGTCGTAACACACTCTCTCTCTCTCTCTGGCCTCTACTCTTGACGCACCACCACCACCACCACCACACACACACACACACACACACACACACAGGTGGGCAAAGAGATCGCTGAGGGCATGAGGCCGTTCGTGCGCGCCACGCAGCTCACCGACAGGCTCGAGCCTCTGCCCGAGGCCAAGAAGATCATCGACGAGGTTCGTGACCCACCCCCACCCCTGTAGGACCGTGACGATCTCTGATGGTCGATTTTCTCGTAATTACTTTAGGCCTACCGAGCCCAACAGCGGGCCTATCCGCCCAACACCGTCGTGCACCCGTTTGCCTGTCTCGACGCCGTCCAAGCCGGTACTCTGGAATAATCGAGAGAAAACAGTGTAAGTTACTGAGTAGCGCTACGACTGCTGCGGCGTGCAGGCGTACAGATGGGCGGGTCCAGCGGCGTCGATGCGGAGCGGCGGGCCGTCGTGGCGTGCCTCTACAACGATGCATCCGAAGCCATGACCCACGCGTTCTTTGCCGAACGCAAAACGGCCAACGTCTCTGGGGTGACCGACCAGGGACTCCAGCCTCGCCCCATCCGCTCAGGTAACCATGGATTGGAATGTTGCGAAATTCCTCATCAGCTTCCTTGCACAAGAACTCAGTCGTGTGTGTGTGTGTGTGTGTGTCATGTGTGTGTGTGTGTGTGTGTGTGTGTGTGGTGATAGTTGGTATAATCGGCGGTGGGTTGATGGGATCGGGCATTGCGACGGCTCTCCTGTTCAGCGGCATAGCGGTGGTCATTAAGGAGGTCAGCCGCCAGTTGCTCGACGCGGTCGTCAATACTGTGACGGCCAATCTCGACCGCGCGGTCGAGCGGCGCCGCCTGACCAGGGAACAGCGCGATCGCCTTCTTTCGATGGTCACGCCCACGCTCCAGTTTGCCGACTTTGTCGCCGTGGACATGGTCATCGAGGTATGGGGTTCACTCACTCACACTCCCTGTCGGCAAGAATCGTAATTGCTGACATGTGGCGGTGTGGCGGTGTGGCGGGCATATGCAGGCTGTGGTGGAGAATCTGAAGGTGAAGCAGGACGTGTTCCGGGAGGTGGAGAAGGTGGTCAAGCCCGATTGCATACTCGCCACCAACACCTCCACGATCCCGATCGATCAGATCGCCACCGCCACCCAATCCGCGCACAGGATGCTCGGTGTACACTTTTTCAGGTTTGCAGCACGCACGCACCCGCACACACACGCACACGCACACACGCACACGCACACAGAGAGATCTGAGCTTATGCGTGTGTTGGGCGCTAGTCCTGCGCAAGTCATGCCTCTGGTGGAGATCGTGCGGACGCGCGAGGTGTCGGCGCAGGTGATCGTGGACACGCTCGGACTGGTCAAAGCCCTGCGCAAGACGCCCATCGTCGTGGGCAACTGCCCTGGATTACCGTCAACCGGATCTTCTTCCCCTTCTTCCAGGCCGCCTCCCTGCTCGTCGACTGCGGCGTCGACCCGTACCGCATCGACAGGTGAAACCACCACCTTCTCTTCAACTCGCACATTCCTTAGCATTCCTCAACAACTTACATTCCACACATACACGCACACAACGACCACAGGGTGTTGATGAAGTTCGGACTGCCGATGGGCGTGTTCCGATTGGGCGACCTGGTGGGCGTCGACATCACCAACTTCATCAACGCCACCTACGCCCGGGCGTGGCCCGATCGGGTCTACACGTCGCAGCTCACCGCCCTCCTCGTCGAGTCCAAGCGGCTCGGCCAAAAGTCGGGCCGCGGCTGGTATGCGCATTCCAAGGGCAAGGCCGCCGAAGACCCGGCCGGCCTGCAACCCATTCTCGACCAATCACGTCGCAGCGCTGGGCTCGCCCGTACTCTCCCCTCTAATGCATGTGTCGTGCGCGTGTGTCGTGTGTCGTGTGTCGTGTGTCGTGTGTCGTGTGTCGTGTGTCGTGCGCCGTGGTCGTGGTCGTGGTCGTGGTCGTGATCGTGTCCTGCGATCGCAATGTGGGATTGGGAATGGCAGCGCGTGAGTTCAGCGACGAGGAGATCGTGGAGTTCGTTCTGTTTCCGGTGGTCAACGAAAGCTGCCGCGTGGTGGAGGAGGGCATGGTCGTCCGCCCGTCCGACGTCGACATCGGCTCCCTCTTCGGCTACTCCTTCCCCCGCTATCGGTTCACACGCACACGCACACACCGCACACGCACCACCGCACATGATAAACCCGCTGCTAACCATCGGTGCGGCTGCCCGAGCAGTGGCGGGGTGCTCAAGTGGGCCGACACTATGCCGAGCGGGCGCATCAGGGACCGGCTGGCCGCGTGGGACCGCGAGTTCGGGCTGCAGACCCGGTCCCGCTTCTTCGCGCCCTCGGCCTATCTCCACTACCGCGCCGACAAGGGCCTCAAACTGGTGCCCATTTCCGCCCGCCCTCGTAAGATAAAGAGCAGCCGCCTGACGTCAGCGCCTCTCTTAATTGACGGGGTGGACGCAGTCGGTGGCGGCGCCCGAGTCGGCGCGCGGACGGGGCTCGCCGCGGGACGTGGTGGTTGTGGCCGCGGTGCGGACGCCCATCGGCAAGGCCAAGCGGGGCCTGCTCAGGGACATCCAGGCCGACGACCTCCTGGCACCCGCCCTCGATACCCTCCACGCCCGCCTGCGCCGCCACTCCATGCGCCCCGAGCAGTACACCCACCTCGCGTCGCGTGTCGTGTCGCGTGTCGTGTGTGGTGGTTTGACTGCGCGCGCGTGCGGTGGTTTGATTGCGCGCGCGTGCGGTGGTGCAGGGTGGGCGACATCGTGGTGGGCGGGATTGCGGCGACGATCGGCCACCTGCGGGCGGCGGCGTTCCTGGCCGGCTTTCCGGCCAGCGTGCCGGTCAAGAAGGTCGACCGCCTCTGTTCGTCGGGCCTGCAGGCCGTGGCCGACGCGGCCCTGGGCATCTCGGGCGGCCTCTACCATTGCGCTATCGCCGCAGGCGTCGAGTCCATGTCGACGGGGTTCGTCGTGGCATTCCCCCCTTTTCTTTTCCCGAGCTGCTTGGCGCTGAGCTGGTCATGTTCATGCAGCGTGCGCGCACCGACCGTGCCCAACCCCAAGGCCGAAGGCAACGAGCTCCTCTCAAGGTAAACCCAACGCCTCACACGCACACGCACACGCACACGCACACGCACCACCGCACACGCACACGCGCACGCATGACACACGCCGCACACACGATACGCGCATGACTTTGGTGGGTGTAGCGTGTATCTGTCGATGGGGGCGACATCGGAGAACGTGGCGGAGCGGTACGGCGTGACACGCGAACAACAGGACCGGATCGGCTACCGCGTACGTCACACCGTTACCTTTTTGTTGCAGACCAAGCGCCGAAGCCGACACGACACGACACACGACACACGACACACGACACATGTACCAGTCGCAGCAGCTGGCGGCGGCAGCACAGGCGGAAGGCAGGTGGGACGCGGAGATCGTGCCTGTGGCTACCACCGTCAACGACAAGAACGGTCAGCCCCGGACCGCCGTCCTCTGTACGCCGCCCTTACCGGCCGCGCACCTACGCAGCTCACCACTTCGATTCTCTTCTGACCGTGCGCCATGTATGCGTTTGTCGTGCGTGTGGCATGCGCGTGTGCGGCGCTGCGCTGCGTTCTGCACAGACAAGGATGAAGGCGTGCGGGCCGACACTACATTGGAAGGCCTGACCAAGCTCAAGCCCGCCTTCAGCGCGTACGCGAACCACCCTTCAACCAGCCACGCCCACTCTGGGGTGAAAAAATGAAATGAGCAAACAAGCAAACAAACAAACATAAACCGCGCGCAGGTCGGGCACGAGCACGGCGGGCAATTCGTCGCAGGTGTCGGACGGCGCGTCGGCGGTGCTGCTTATGACCCGCGCCCTCGCCGAGGCCCACGGCTGGGAGGTGCTGGGCGTCTTCCGCTCCTTCGTCGCCGTCGGCTGCGACCCCGCCGTCATGGTACGCACCCAGGCCGACCACCTCGCGATTGACCGATCGATGACTCACCAGTCGGACTGGACTGGACTGGGCAGGGCATCGGGCCGGCGCTGGCGATTCCGAGGGCCGTGGAGAAGGCCGGCCTGTCGCTGGCCGACATCGGCCTGTTCGAGATCAACGAGGCCTTCGCCTCCCAGTTCCACTACTGCGTGGAGGAGCTCCGCATCCCGCTCGACAGGGTCAACGTCAACGGCGGCGCCATCGCCCTTGGCCGTACATCCCCCATTTTGCTGTCGCTTTCTTTTTCTCGGCTTCGCTTTCGCTTTTCTGATTGTGGGCGGGTGCGTGTGGTGGACTGCTGACAGATCCGTTGGGCTGCACCGGGACCCGCCTCACGACGTCCCTCCTGCACGAGATGGGCCGGCGCGGGGTTCGCTACGGCGTCGTTTCCATGTGCGTGGGCACCGGGATGGGTGCCGCCGCCGTCTTCGAGCGCTGCTGAGGTCATCACTTTTTCTTTTTCGTGTTATTAGAAATAGATTTCAAGCTTTCCTGGAAAGATGAAGAAAATGAATTAGTATTAAATTATCATTGGTGGTGGTCAGCTGTTCGTGGCACAGGGTGCAGACGTGGGAGGTGGAATATCTGCTTGCTGCGGTGCGGAGCAATCTGCAGCTGGTGTAATGCACAGCGCAGAAGGTTGGCTGTGCGTGTTGTGCTGTGTGTGTGTTGTGTGTGCTGTATGTGTGCGCGCACACACGCACACACGCACACTCACACTCACGCACGCACACACACGGGGACGTACATCAAAGGCTTTGTTGATGTCTGGCTTTAGCTGGGTGTCCGCCCGGTCCAAGATGAAGGAGGTCGATGCAGGTGGCGAGCGACAACCTTTGGCGATGGCCCATCGTTTAATG